TGCTGTCCCTTAGCCCCTACGGTCCATACTGGCGCCATGTCCGAAAAATAGCCACGCATGAACTCCTCGCAAATCAGCGCCTGGAGCAGCTCCAGCACATCAGAATGTCCGAGGTTCGAAGTTCCATCAAGACACTATATGAGTTATGTGGGGACAGCAGAAACAAGGGGTCAGGTGGGAAAGTGAGGGTTGAGATGAGGACGTGGTTTGGGGATGTAAGTTTAAATACAATACTTAGGATGGTGGTGGGAAAGCGACTGAGCTTTGTTTTCGAAGGCAGTGGTGCGGAGCAGTACAGAGAGGCGTTCAGGGATGTTTTTGAACTGTTTGGAGCATTTGTTCCTTCAGATTCGTTTCCGTTTCTAAGTTGGTTGGATTTGGGAGGGTACAAGAAAGCCATGAACAAGACCGCCAAGGTGCTTGACCAGATGCTTACTAAATGGATCCAAGAGCATCGAGAGAAGACCAAGAATTGGGGTGAATGTGGAGTGGAGACAAAGGAGCAAGACTTCATGGATGTCATGCTTTCTCCTGTCAGCAACCACGGAGGGTTAGGTGATTTTGATGTCGACACAGTCACCAAAGCCACTTGTTTCGTAAGCATATATATGTATTTCAATCTTATTCGGAATTTTAAAAGCCTTTCCTTCCATGATTGAATTTTGAGATGGAATAATATTGTATAGGCTATGGTATTGGGCGCATATGACACTACAATGATTACTATGACATGGGCTCTTTCTCTACTCCTCAACCATCCAGAAGCACTCAGGAAGGTACAACTTGAATTAGATGAAAAAGTTGGAAGATCAAGACAAGTGAAAGAATCGGATGTCAAAAATCTATTGTATCTCCAAGCCATTATGAAGGAGACATTGCGTTTATATCCTGCGGCACCGTTACTAATCCCTCATGAATCTATAGAAGATTGTACAGTTTTAGGTTATCATATTCCAGCAAGGACACGTCTTATAGTGAATGTTCAAAAGCTGCACAAAGATTCACTTGTTTGGGAGAATCCTTGTGAATTTCGTCCAGAAAGATTCTTAACAAGCGACACAAAGTTTGACATGAGAGGACAAGATCTGCAACTAATGCCATTTGGGTGTGGTCGAAGGATGTGTCCTGGAATCTCATTTGCCCTTCAACTTATGCATCTTACTCTTGCAAGCCTACTTCATGAATTTGAAATTGATAGGCCATCTGAAGAGTTATTGGATATGGATGAGGGTTTTGGAATAACCGTTCTAAAAAAAACTCCACTTGAAGTTGTTTTACATCCACGCCTACCGAGCCAAGTCAAGGACACTAAATAAAACTACTTATAAACACGTATTGTATAGTGTGTGATTATAGTTGTAACATGTATGAAAAATAAGTTCTGAGTATAATATGATATAAATTTAGTATAATTAGATGAAAATGTTGGCAGATCAAGTGAAAGAGTCTGATCCAAGCCAAGTGAAAGAGTCTGTTATTAATCCCTCTTGAATTTGTAGAAGATTGTACAGTTTCAGATTATCATATTCTTGCAAGAACACGACTTATAATGAATGTTCAAAAACGGCAAAAAGATCCACTTGTTTGGGAGGATCCTTGTGAATTTCGTCTAAAGTTCTAGAGAGAGAGGGAGGAGAACATTCTTGACTCTCAAATCGTTCAAAACCATCAAGTAACGAAGAAAATTCGTAGGTAAGTTCTTGAACGGTTGTTTTTGGATTTTCTTCTGTTAGAAATATTAAGAGTAAGATTCTGAAATTTGAGTGTTAATCTTGAGAGGATTACACTCATAATCTATGAAGGAAGTCTTGATCGATTCAGATCGGAAATAGGAGTTTCAGCTTTCACCAAAGGATAAAAGTATCGATGATCTTGCCAACTTTAGACTAAGTTTTTATGTCTGTAGTTAGAAATAAATTACAAGAAAAATAGAAAATAATCCGTTTTCGGAGAGGAAGAAGACGAACGGCGGAGGGACGCGTGTCAGGAAAGGAGAGGGCCGCGCGTCGCCGGTAAGATGGGACACGTGTCAGGCGCGGAATGGCTTCGGAATTTACGAAAAATACTGCGTTAGATAGGGTTTGAAGACCGGCGCCCGCTATCAGATCCGTGAACCCGCGCGCGACCCGAACCCGCATCTACCACGCGTCAGCGTGGAAAAATTCGTAGGAACCCGCGTGCGTCCAGATTCGAACACACACCCTGCCTCTCAGTGGACCAGTCAGCCCTCGCCACGTGGGACACCCCTCCGTCGCATGGGCGCGTGAACTAGCGCGTGAGATCTATTTTTATTTCCCGATTTGACTCCCGTTCGACTATTTTTCATCCCGGTTTTGATACTGATCTAAGTCTAACTTGAATTAGAACTTATCAAGAAAATTCCAGAATTTTTGGAACCTTTTCCGGCAAATAATAAGAGCTTGGGAAGACACGCGTCAACCATGTAAGTAACCATTTGGATTCCCACAAACAGTACTTGTAGGAACCACTAGGAACAAGCATGCATGCTACCACCCATTAATCATGGAAACTGCGAAAATGAAATGATTAAGAAAACCTAGATATGAAATGTTCATTCAATCTGTTTGATCGAGATTCTGATAAAGTATGTATGCATGAGGAGGATGGGAAACTTGTGAAATCTACACTTCGGGTAAAGATGGACGTTATCTTCCCGTTGAGCATGTTTGTTAACATTGCATGAATTGTTGTGTGTTAACTCTTATACATAATGAGTGCTTGTGTTATCTTTCTTGATGAGCAGGAAGAAATTATGAGCTTAGATTAGGGTGCTTGTGACGAAGTAGGTTATATGAGACTCTAGATTGGGGGACCTCTAGAATACTATTCAATTAAACCCACAAAATGATTACCTGCGGATCCAGAGCTCAGAATTCCAAACCCGATAGGTTTGTGAGACCAGGCACGAGAATCCTAGAGATACATGAATCCAAGTCTAAGCCACCAAGTTTCACCCTAGAAAGAATAATAGGTCACCCCGGTAACTGTAGGTAGTCTGCTAGAGTTGAGCAGTGTAGATAGCGTCTTCAGAACCTCCACTTCCCTCTCTCTTCCAATACCGTATCGTCGAGACAAAGCTCCGGTACGGTGATCGTTGAGCTTCGCAAATCCGAATAGGGAAGCATGACAGGTGCCCAGACCTAGTGGTGATAGTTAAGGGGTCCTCTGAAAAGTTGGAACATCAAAACAAGTGAAAGAGTTTGATGTAAATAATCTACCCTATCTCCAAGGGAACTCTACGGTTGTATCCGACTCTACCGTTAATAGGCCCTCATAAAGCAGTAGAGGATTGCACAATTGCAGGCTACCATATCTCCAAAGAGACACATCTCATAGTTAATGTTCAAAAGCTAGGCTACCATATCTCCAAAGAGACACATCTCATAGTTAATGTTCAAAAGCTGCAAAGAGACCCATTTGTTTGGAAGGAACCTAGTGAATTTTGTTCCCAAAGATTTGTGGCAAGTCAAAAGGACTTTGATGGACAAAGTCCATAATTCATACCATTTCTAAATGGTAGAAGATGTGCCCAGAAATCTCATTCGCCCTTCAAATAATGCATCTCATGCTTGCAAACTTGCTACATGGGTTGAAGAACCGCTCGACATGGAAGAGAGTACGGGATTGACCAATCTTAAAAAAAACTCCACTTGAAGTTGTCTTAACTCCATGCCTACCTATCCATATTTATGAGTTGTATTCGACTAGGAGTTGTTAATCTTAGTATAACTTCTCCGTTTTATAAAACCTTAGTAACACAACTTCTCTTTCAATAAAGCTTAAGTGAGTATATCTCTTGGTTGTTCAATGGCGGTATTAAGTACTTCAACATAATTTCTTCAGAGACAACAAAGGCACGCATATAATCATGTTATAATAATGTTTTGATCAATGACAGATAATTGGTTTGTTATCACAACATATGTTTGTTGCTCTTTTTGTTTTTGTTAAAGATTAGTTAACATTCTTCTGGACACGTTACAACAACATATTTCTGAAGTTGATAGTGTTGGAGGGAATGAACTCTTCGTCCATATAGCGGAAGCATTGAAAACTGTTTTTATTTTACTAAGAATTAAAAGAAAGCAATAGATACGAGGGTAAGAAAGTAGAAACCTTAGTTGGCAAGACTCCTTTGAAGTACTCTAGCGTATAAGTTTTTTCACATTCACAAGATTTTTCTTGCTATGACGCCATAATGGAACTTTGATGTCGGATTGTGTGTGTTAAGTAAACAATCCGCCAACCAAGCTTCTGAACCTTCTAATATATGTCATTTCTACTCCTTCATGTTGTAATTTCTCATTAATATTATGGGTGCCGGGTTACAATTGAGCATACTAAATTTAATCATAAATTCATTTTCAATAATTTGATATATTTATAGACGAAGAAAATAGTGACATCTCAAATTTATTCATCCTTAAAACTTAAATTTATCCAAACACAGTTAGAAGAGATATTATGAATGATATCGTCGACATAAAGGTCGATAATGATGAAAATCACTCTTACCTTTCTTCTTCGTACAAATTTTGCTCATTCTCATGCATTATGTATCATTGTTCTTGAAAATACTCGTGAATCTTGCTTTATTGCTTCATAATATGTCCCGAAATAACTAAGAAATTATTGTACATTAACTAAACTAATTAATGTTTATGTATTATTAATCATTAATGTCATAGTAAAAGAGTGAATAGATTGAAAAAGATTAGTATCAATAATGATCCAAATGCAAAGTTTTCAAACCATCATTATTATAATGACAACAGAAAAAGAAAAAAAGAAGATTGTTGGGCTATTCACAGCCATAAAAGTTCCCCATAAAATCAATTAAAAGTAATAATTTGTGATTAATATATATAAACAATAATTGGGAAAATTATTGTTGATGTAACAATGTAATAGGATCAAAATGACCACACTACTATTAATATCCCATGTCCATTGAGGCTGCCCAAATAACAATAGATCTGATATACATCCTCCAAACTAGAATACCCACGCCCACCACAAATGGAAATTACTCACATCTTACCTGCAATCTTCGCCCTTCTCCTCCTTCTCTATGCTCTCTTTCGTATAGCTTCTCCGAGATCCGCCGCTAACCGCACCAACAAGACACTTCCACCTGAAGCCGCCGGTCGTTTGCCACTGATCGGCCACCTCCATAAACTAAGTGCAACAGAGCCAACTCACATAACCTTGGCCAAAATGGCCGACGTCTACGGACCTATCTTTACCTTAAGATTGGGCATGAACACAGCCCTTGTCGTGAGCAGTTGGGAAATAGCGCGAGAGTGCTTCACCACAAACGACACAATTTTCGCATCCCGCCCAAAGGGTTTAGCCCCAGAGCTGCTCGGCTACAACAGCGCAATGATGGCGATTAGCCCATACGGTCCATACTGGCGCCATGTGCGCAAACTAGCCACGCTTGAACTCTTGACAAACCATCGCCTCGAGCAGCTCCAACACATTAGAATATCCGAGGTTCAAAGTTCGATCAAGAAACTGTATGAGTTATGCGCCGACAGCACAAGTAAGGGATCAGGTGGGAAAGTGAGGGTTGAGATGAGGAAGTGGTTTGGGGATGTAAGTCTGAATACAATATTTAGGATGGTGGTGGGAAAGCGATTCAGCGCTGTTTTCGAAGGCAGTGGTGGGGAGCAGTACCGACGAGCATTGAGGGATGTTTTTGAACTGTTTGGGGCATTTGTTCCTTCAGATTCGTTCCCATGTCTAAGTTGGTTGGATGTGGGAGGGTATAAGAGGGCCATGAACAAGACCGCCAAGGTGCTTGACGAAATGCTTAGTAAATGGATCGAAGAACATCGAGAGAAGAAGAAGAATTGGGGTGAAGGTGGAGTGGACACAAAGGAGCAAGATTTCATGGATGTCATGCTTTCTGCTGTCGGCGACGACGGAGGGTTATGTGGTTTTGATGCGGATACAGTCACCAAAGCCACTTGTTTTGTAAGCATATATTTACATTTCAATTTTATTCGGATTCAATTCTTATTTTCTCCTTAGTTGAGATGGAATAATAAAATAAATTATGATATGATGTAGGCCATCATATTGGGTGCATCCGACACTACAATAATTACTATGACATGGGCTCTTTCTCTACTCCTCAACCATCCAGAAGCACTCAGGAAGGTACAACTTGAATTAGATGAAAAAGTTGGAAGATCAAGACAAGTGAAAGAATCGGATGTCAAAAATCTATTGTATCTCCAAGCCATTATGAAGGAGACATTGCGTTTATATCCTGCCGCGCCGTTACTAATCCCTCATGAATCTGTAGAAGATTGTACAGTTTTAGGTTATCATATTCCAGCAAGGACACGTCTTATAGTGAATGTTCAAAAGCTGCACAAAGATCCACTTATTTGGGAGAATCCTTGTGAATTTCGTCCAGAAAGATTCTTAACAAGCGACACAAAGTTTGACATGAGAGGACAAAATCAGCAACTAATGCCATTTGGAAGTGGTCGAAGAATGTGTCCTGGAATCCTGTNTGTCCATTGAGGCTGCCCAAATAACAATAGATCTGATATACATCCTCCAAACTAGAATACCCACGCCCACCACAAATGGAAATTACTCACATCTTACCTGCAATCTTCGCCCTTCTCCTCCTTCTCTATGCTCTCTTTCGTATAGCTTCTCCGAGATCCGCCGCTTGCAATCTTCGCCCTTCTCCTCCTTCTCTATGCTCTCTTTCGTATAGCTTCTCCGAGATCCGCCGCTAACCGCACCAACAAGACACTTCCACCTGAAGCCGCCGGTCGTTTGCCACTGATCGGCCACCTCCATAAACTAAGTGCAACAGAGCCAACTCACATAACCTTGGCCAAAATGGCCGACGTCTACGGACCTATCTTTACCTTAAGATTGGGCATGAACACAGCCCTTGTCGTGAGCAGTTGGGAAATAGCGCGAGAGTGCTTCACCACAAACGACACAATTTTCGCATCCCGCCCAAAGGGTTTAGCCCCAGAGCTGCTCGGCTACAACAGCGCAATGATGGCGATTAGCCCATACGGTCCATACTGGCGCCATGTGCGCAAACTAGCCACGCTTGAACTCTTGACAAACCATCGCCTCGAGCAGCTCCAACACATTAGAATATCCGAGGTTCAAAGTTCGATCAAGAAACTGTATGAGTTATGCGCCGACAGCACAAGTAAGGGATCAGGTGGGAAAGTGAGGGTTGAGATGAGGAAGTGGTTTGGGGATGTAAGTCTGAATACAATATTTAGGATGGTGGTGGGAAAGCGATTCAGCGCTGTTTTCGAAGGCAGTGGTGGGGAGCAGTACCGACGAGCATTGAGGGATGTTTTTGAACTGTTTGGGGCATTTGTTCCTTCAGATTCGTTCCCATGTCTAAGTTGGTTGGATGTGGGAGGGTATAAGAGGGCCATGAACAAGACCGCCAAGGTGCTTGACGAAATGCTTAGTAAATGGATCGAAGAACATCGAGAGAAGAAGAAGAATTGGGGTGAAGGTGGAGTGGACACAAAGGAGCAAGATTTCATGGATGTCATGCTTTCTGCTGTCGGCGACGACGGAGGGTTATGTGGTTTTGATGCGGATACAGTCACCAAAGCCACTTGTTTTGTAAGCATATATTTACATTTCAATTTTATTCGGATTCAATTCTTATTTTCTCCTTAGTTGAGATGGAATAATAAAATAAATTATGATATGATGTAGGCCATCATATTGGGTGCATCCGACACTACAATAATTACTATGACATGGGCTCTTTCTCTACTCCTCAACCATCCAGAAGCACTCAGGAAGGTACAACTTGAATTAGATGAAAAAGTTGGAAGATCAAGACAAGTGAAAGAATCCGATGTCAAAAATCTATTGTATCTCCAAGCCATTATGAAGGAGACATTGCGTTTATATCCTGCCGCGCCGTTACTAATCCCTCATGAATCTGTAGAAGATTGTACAGTTTTAGGTTATCATATTCCAGCAAGGACACGTCTTATAGTGAATGTTCAAAAGCTGCACAAAGATCCACTTATTTGGGAGAATCCTTGTGAATTTCGTCCAGAAAGATTCTTAACAAGCGACACAAAGTTTGACATGAGAGGACAAAATCAGCAACTAATGCCATTTGGAAGTGGTCGAAGAATGTGTCCTGGAATCCTGTTTGCCCTTCGATTTATGCATTTTATCCTTGCAAATCTACTTCAGAAATTTGAAATTGAGAGGCCATCCGAAAAATTACTTGACATGGAAGAGGGTTTTGGATCAACTGTCTCAAGAAAAACTCCACTTGAAGTTGTTTTAAGTCCTCGCCTAACAAATCAAGTTTATGAATGATTTTGAAATCGTGGCAATAAACGAAACTATAAGTAAAGGTATAGTAAAGAGGGGCTATTGTTGTGACATAAATTTAGTATGATTATAATATAATTACTTTATTTTATGTTTTTGCAGTGAAAAATTACAAAAATCAAATCAATTTGTATGTATGCCGGAGACCCAACTTGGCCGGTGATTGATCACCTCCACCTGTTAAATGCAGGAGACCCAACTTGTAGATAAAGTTAGCCAAAATGGCATACGTGTTCTTTCTTTCCACCTCTCTTTTTACCATTTTTGTTATGCATGAAACTCCACCTTTAAGAGAAATGTAGTCTCCCTCACTCAAATTTAAACCATAAAGCAAACCATAAACCAACAACATTATGTCTATGACCAGAAGTATCGAAGGTCGAACCACCAATCTTGATACCCACTCAATGAACCAAAGTCGGTCATATCGAATGTCGAACCACCAATTTTGATACCCACTCAATGAACCAAAGTCAATCCATTATAGGGATCAACATCAACTCTTACCATTAATTAGAAGAGAAGGAATGCCACAAGTCAAGTTAACATTGCTTTTTGGACTATAATTCTTTTTTGGTACCTAAAATATCTATCATCAGAAATTTGAATCTATTGTTTGTAATGTTACGATCTTGATTTTATAGAAATTTGTTGGTTGAGGAGGGTGTCAAATTATTAATTAAACTTAATACTCACCGTTTTGTGTGGATACTGCATTTTTTTAATTTAAGAAAAGATTAATAGTCATTAATTAATACTTTGAAAGATGAAACCTATATTTTTGAAGTATGAGTATTAATAAAGAAGAGTTGAAGTTGATGTTTTTGAAATTTCTAAAATTATGTATACTAATAACAAATAATTTTCATAAAACTAAAATTTTGAAGTTAGAAGATTTTTATTATTCATTTACGACCACTTCAATCCAATAAATCTGTTATAAATCCTTCCCAGACTTGCCTTCCAAACTGCAAAAATCACTCCAACCACAAATGGAACTTACTCACACCTTAGCTACAACCTTCGCCCTTCTCCTTTTTCTCTATGCACTCTTTCGTATTACATCTCAGAGACCCCGCGCCCATCCTACCAACAACACACTTCCACCTGAAGCCGCCCGTGTTTTTGTAGAAGCTAATAATAGAAAAAGTAGTAATTTGAATTTAGTCACTACGTCAGATAGCCCAAAGTCTCGATCGTTAGCTCTCGGTCTTCCAGTTAAAAAACAACGTCGATGAAGACGTGTGGGTGCACTATTACGCGGTGGGGATTGTAACTTTCCATGAATTTCCCATTTCTCACTCAACGATGGAACTTTGCTTATTTCTTTTTTTAAGGATTGACGAATCAAATGATATTTTTGTTCCAATTTTTGCCTCTTCTTCTCCCTCTGAATTAAACTTTTCCTTGCCATAATGATTCCATTCCTAGTAGTATCAATGATACAAGTCAGATCCTAGATGTAGAAATATAAGAAAGAAGATCCCCTAGGAAGTGAAAGCAATTTCATCCACAAGGAAGCAATGAAATCCCCTCCTATAAAATGACCTCCCTTTCCATCATTCAAATTACTCCTCCTCTCAATCTCACTTCAAATTTTTTTGTCACCAACAACTGGTATTAGAGCGATAGAATGGCAACAGAAAAATAAGTTGAGAGCTACGTGAATGGAAAATTTTCTCAGATCAAATGAGTTTTTTGATATGGTGGAGACGGATTATGAAGAGCCAAATGAAGGCGAGGTATTCTCAGCTGGTCAACAGCAACTGTTGGCAGTATCGAAGTTGAAGGACCTGAAGGTCAAGAACTATTTATTTCAGTCCATTGATAGGACTATCTTGAAAACAATGCTTCAAAAGAAGACATCCATGGAAGTTTGGGATTCTATGAGGAGAAAGTATCAAGGCTCAACGAGAGAAAAGCGTGCTCAACTTCAAGCTGTTAGAAGAGACTTTGAAATTCTCCAAATGCAAGAAGCTACTACAAATTTGGGAATTGAAATACCTGATTTTATACAGGTCGAGTGGGCCTTACAGTTTGCTTGCTATCCGGATCAAGGATAATAAATAAAATGGAAACAAGGTTATGAGTCTTGCAAGTAAAATGAGGATGCATGGTGATTCAATCACGGATGTTACGGTTGTAGAAAAGATTTTGCGATCACTAACTCCAAAGTTCGATTACATTGTATGTTCTATCGAAGAAGCAAACAATGTCGAAGAGATGCAAATAGATGAACTCCAAAGCTCCCTGTTAGTACATGAATAGAGACTCAATCATACAAGTGCAATAGAGGAGATGGCAGCCTTAAAGATATTCACACCAGGTGAAACCTCAAGCCCTAGAGGTAGAGGGCAAAGAAGAGGTAGAGGTCGTGGGAGAGGCAGTCGAGAAAGAAGTGAGATGTTGGCAGGTCAGCAGATCTAGTCAGAAACGATTATGACAACAAAGGCAAGAGACACTTTGACAAGTCTAAGGTGGAATGCTACAAATGTGGACCCCTTGGACATTACAAAAATGAATGCTATATCAGGCGCCAAAAGAAGAAAAGAGATCAATCCAATTTTGTGAAGAGGAGAAAAGAAACATTGTTAATGTCATTCCATGCTATGAAGGTTGCAGATCAAGGTGTATGGGTCGTAGACTCTAGATGCAACAACCATATGACAGGTTGTAAGGAATTCTTCTGGATGAAAATTTTCATACTACGGTTTCTCTTGGCAACAATTCAACTATCCAAGTGATGGGGAAATGAACTCTAGATATCACGACTAGAAATGGCTTTGTAGAGTCTATTTCTAATGTATTCTACATTCCTGATCTGAAGATCAACTTACTTAGCATTGGTCCCTTACAAGAAAAGGGGTATGTGATCACATTCCAAAATGTTGAACGTGAGATTTATGACTCCAAAAGAGGATCGATTGCTAAGATGAAGATGACCACCAACCGTCTATATCTGTTGACATTAAATATCGTCGCCAAAAGTTTGATGGTGAAGAAAAAAGATACCACCTAGCTTTGACATTTTAGGTATGGTCATCTACACTTCAAAGGATTAGAGACGTTGTATTCAAAGAAGATGGTAACTGGGTTGCCAGATATTACTCCTCCAACAGAAATTTGAGAGAGTTGTGTAGTAGCAAAACATGAAAGAAATTCTTTTCCATCTAGAAAATCAAGAATAGCTTAAACGATTTTGGAGTTGATTCATTGAGACATATGTGGTCCCATCTCTCCAGCATCAAATCACATGACCCTCATCGATAATTTTAGTCGAAAAACATGGACTTATTTCTTGCACGCCAAATCAGAAGCCTTTGATTGTTTCAAAAATTTTTGTGAAGACGGAAACGGGAAAAAGAGTCAAGGCTTTAAGAACTGACAGAGGTGGAGAGTTATGCTCGAACGGGTTTATTAAATTTTGTGAAGAAAAGGGCATAAGGAGGCAGTTAACAACAACATATACACCACAACAAAATGGTGTGGCCGAAAGGAAAAACAGAATCATTCTCAACATGGTTTGAAGTTTACTAAATAAAGGAGAAGTCCCGAAGGAATTATGGCCAGAAGCTGCCGTGTGGTCCGTTCACATTCTAAACCGGAGCCCTACCTTTTTTTGTTAGAGATATGACTCCACAAGAAGCATAGAGCGGAAGAAAACCTGCAGTAGACCACTTTAGAATCTTTGGGTGCATAGCATATGCACACGTTCATGATGAGAAAAGGAAGAAGCTTGAGGACAAGAGTTTGAAGTGTAGATCTTGAAGAAAAGATCACCGTGAATCAGCAAATTCTTATAGATCTTGAAGAACAAACTGAAGCCCTTATTCAGCCTCACTATGAGCATGGAGAGAGCTCATCACAATCTCAATAAGAAGAACGAGTAGAAGAAGATCATGATCATAATCAAAGAAATTCAAGAACAAGAAAGAGACCAAATTGGATGATTGATTATGAGATGGACTATGAATGATAGTGATTATTTTGCATTCTTTATGGAAAGTGATACAATTGTCTAAGAAGAAGCGACAAAGGAGAAGAAATGGAAGGAAGCTATGAACAGTTAAATTAAATACGTATTTTTAAATATTTCATGTCAATAATGATAAACCGCTCGAGATCAATTTCTTTATTTTATATATTACCAAACGTTTATTTTATGTATTAAATATCATACTAAAAAAACAAAATAGAATGAAAAAGATTACCATCAATAATGATCCATGATGTAAAGTTTTCCAAATAACTCTCATTATTGTAACGACAAAAGAAAAAAAAAAGATTGTCGGGCTATTAAACAACCATAAAAATTTCCCATAAAATAAAATAAAGGTAACAATTTGTGGTTAATATATATAATAATAATTGGTAACATTATTGTTGATGTAACAATGTAATAGGATCAAAATGACCACACTACTATTAATATCCCATGTCCATTGAGGCTGCCCAAATAACAATAGATCTGATATACATCCTCCAAACTAGAATACCCACGCCCACCACAAATGGAAATTACTCACATCTTACCTGCAATCTTCGCCCTTCTCCTCCTTCTCTATGCTCTCTTTCGTATAGCTTCTCCGAGATCCGCCGCTCACCTCACCAACAAGACACTTCCACCTGAAGCCGCCGGTCGTTTGCCACTGATCGGCCACCTCCATAAACTAAGTGCAACAGAGCCAACTCACATAACATTAGCCAAAATGGCCGACGCCTACGGACCTATTTTTACCTTAAGATTGGGCATGAACACAGCCCTTGTCGTGAGCAGTTGGGAAATAGCGCGAGAGTGTTTCACCACAAACGACAGAATTTTCGCTTCCCGCTCAAAAGTTGTTGCCTCAGAGCTGCTCGGCTACAACTACGCAGCCTTGGGAATTAGCCCCTACGGTCCATACTGGCGCAAAGTGCGCAAACTAGCCACGCTTGAACTGTTGACGAACCATCGCCTCGAGCAGCTCCAACACATTAGAATATGTGAGGTTCAAAATTCGATCAAGAAATTGTATGAGTTATGTGCCGACAGCAGAAATAAAGGGTCCGGTGGGAAAGTGAGGGTTGAGATGAGGACGTGGTTTGGGGATGTAAGTTTGAATACAATATTTAGGATGGTGGTCGGAAACCGATTCAGCGCTGTTTTCGAAGGCAGTGGTGCGGAGCAGTACAGAGAGGCGTTGAGGGCTTTTTTTGAACTGTTTGGGGCATTTGTTCCTTCAGATTCGTTTTCGTGCCTAAGTTGGTTGGATTTGGGAGGGCATAAGAAGGCCATGAATAAGACGGCTAAGGTGCTTGATGAGATGCTTAGTAAATGGATCAAAGAGCATCGAGAGAAGAAGAAGAATTGGGGTGAAGGTGGAGTGGAAACAGAGGAGCAAGACTTCATGGATGCCATGCTTTCTGCTGTCGACGACGACGGAGGGTTATGTGGTTTTGATGCTGATACAATCACCAAAGCTACTTGTTTGGTAAGCCTATGTATTCAAAACCCATTCCTTACATGAACCAACTCTTACTAAATAACAAATTAAATTATGATATTGTGTAGTCGATGATGTTGGGTGGATACACTACTATGATTGCTACGACATGGGCTCTTTCCCTACTCCTCAACAATCAAGAAACACTTAAGAAGGCCCAACTTGAATTAGATGAAAAAGTTGGAACATCAAGACAAGTAAAAGAGGCCGACTTAAAAAATCTGATATATTTCCAAGCCATTGTGAAGGAGACATTGCGTTTATATCCTGCCGCGCCGCTTTTAATCCCTCATGAATCTATAGAAGATTGTATGGTTTCAGGCTATCATATTCCTGCAAGGACACGCCTTTTAGTGAATGTTCAAAAACTGCAAAAAGACCCACTTGTTTGGGAGGATCCGTGTGAATTTCGTCCAGAAAGATTCTTAACCAACGACACAAAGTTTGATATGCAAGGACAAAATATGCAACTAATGCCATTTGGAAAGGGTAGGCGGATGTGTCCTGGAATGTCATTTGCCCTTCAACTTGTGCATCTTACTCTTGCAAGTCTACTTCATGAATTTGAAATTGATAGACTATCTGAAGAATTATTGGACATGGAAGAGGGTTTTGGATTTATTATTTTTAGAAAAACTCCGCTTGAAATTGTTTTAAGTCCTGTCTGTCGAATAAAGTTCATGATTAATTTTAAAATTAAGTCGGGAACAATAAATAAAAATATTGTATAGTGTTCGTTATTGGTGTGACAATTATTAATAAATAAAAATATTGTACAATGTTATTGTTATTGGTGTGACAATTATTAACATAAATTTAGTGTTAATCAATAAAATTTACTTTTTTGTAAGAAAATTTTAGTACTGTAATCTCAATTATTGTCAAAGTAGGTGACGAATTCCACTAAAATATAATCCTTTAAATAAATAATTATCTAAGCCTAATAAAGTAGATATCACTGTCCTTTTTAACGTTTCTTTTATGTTACAAGCTTTATAAAAGTAAGGATTATATTATTGGTAAGAGTTTGTACATTTACGAAATCACTCCATAAACTTTAGGAAAAAATATTATAAAATAAATAAAAATGGGTAACTATCAAAGATATTTAGTACTAAATTATAGTTTACCATACATATCATATTTAATATTTTATTATAAGTAAATATCTAGAGGTATTTAGATTAATCAAACCTCTCAAACATTTAAATGAGATAATATTTAGTATTAAATTATAGTTACTGGATTTTTCTCATATCCCACTTTGACCCCGCACCGAGTGATTTGACCCCACAAGGACGACTAACGTGTTTTCGGGTTCAAATTTGATGGCCTTTATTTTAAATTTTTCTCTTCCCACTCCACGTTAGTGTAGAGAAATTCCATATTAATCCAATTTCAAAATATATGAACCCAGCTCACAAAAAGAAGAAAAGGCAACGAGATGCTCTTGGTTAATATTTCACCTTAAAGAAAATAAAATTATTATTATTTTTAAATTTTTAAAATTTTGCAACTAAAGGCGTGATGAAAATTTGCTACAATAAAAAATGTCATCTTTAACTTTTTTTTTTCTTTCTTTTTCCCTTTACATTCAATTCATTTTCCCTCCCTCCCCCTAAATTCATGACATTAATCAGTTTGAGCTATGAGAATACTAACAATGTTGATTTAGAATTTAAACATCGCTCCAACTTTGTCTATGTCCATATCTAATGGAGAGGCCCATTGAATTTGCTGATTACTGCTGGTCACATGATTCTTCTTTTTACTACTAATAACACAGCCAATGATATCTCCCAAATCCCAATTTTTGTGGACAAGACTTGGTGTCCCTTTTTTGTATATAATATTTTGTGGGGTTTGAACTTCCAAGCTATGAACTGAATCTGAATCCTTCGATCGACAGCAACGATGGCATTGAGTTTCGATTCCCGATAAAGTTCAATGGCTGGGGAACTCTTTAATTCATTTGGCAATTATGGCATGAATTGGTTCCCAAAGTCCAAAGCAAAGTGCAGAAAAGAAGAAAAAAAAAAAGAACATTTGGTATGTTTTAATTTTGGATTGAATGAAGAAGCATCGGAGACGGTGAAAAAGAAGGCTGAATTGGGTGGCACCAAAGGCGAAGGCGGTCCCCATGGACCCATTGTGATGGGCTATAGGGCCACCGTCGAAGGCCGACCAGCAGAGCATCTCAGTCTCTCTCGCCTCGCCAGCGGCGCCAGACATGGCCACATCTTTGACGATTTGCCTCACTTTTCACTCCCTCTTCAAGTTTTCAAATTTGTCCAACACTTTTCTTTATCCCTTCAACTCTTTTCATTTCCTTTCCTTTTTCTCTTTTTCTTTCTCCTTTAATTTCAAATTCATTCACTAATTTAATTATTTTCTCATTTTTATTATTTCACGTTAAAAGCAGAGAAAATAATAAAATTGTTAAAATTTCTACTCTAAATTTTCAATTTTATCAAATTAATTCCCACGTTATAATTTTAACCTTCAATAAACATTTGTTCTAAAGATTGCTAGAAATAATTATAAAACAGCATAAATTCGAAAAAAATTCAAAGAAAAAGGACGTTAAAACTAAATTTTGTTTTTTTTTTAATTTATTTATTACTCTTTGCACTTACCCAACTTAATTTTGCTTAAAGGTTGATTTTATTAAAATTGGTGAGTTTGTGGATTTTATTAACAAAAATTAATTAACGTGTTAAAATTTTGGAGTAATAATTGATACGATATATATAATTTAAAATCCCTATTTAAAGAGATTCAATGGCTGCAGAGCCGGATCGCCAAAACGTCCAAAAGCCCGCGAGTCAATTTGCTTACTGTTCTTCGCTAATTGCTACCGCGCACACATCCAAAACTCTTCATCTCTCTCTGTCTCTCTGTCCCTCTTCTTTCTCTTGCAATTAATCAACGGCGGCGATCAATTTTCCGATCAGCAACTCCGTCCTCTGTTTCGCGCTGGCATTTGCAAACAATACGACGCCGTCTCTTCCGTAATTCCCCATCAATGCGTTTCCACTCTTTCACTTGATCGCACTGGTTTTGAAGTTAGCTGCGTGGAGCAACTGCAGCCAATTGTTCCAGCACTTTCTATCACGTAGGTATACACCTTTGTTCCATCTCTCTCGTCATTCTTTTCTCATTCCCGAGATTCATATGTTCAGTACTCCACTACTTGTTTTCTCATTGCGTTGACGGAATCAAATGATCATATAACAAATTAATATAGAAATAGTTGACGGAAGAGTTCATCCAGTGCTTTCGTACATATTTGAGTTTTGAATTGACGACAGAATTGTATTTCAGCACAGATAGAATTTATCAGTATGGAGTTCATCCGTAATTTAGGTACCAAAATGAGAAAATATCACAAGTTTCCATTTGATTGACTAATTTTTGCGTAGCGTTGAATTGCCGAATTTGCCCTTACTTGTAGTCGGTTGAGGATCATCGTCACAACCACCGCATGACGTTGCTGTTTGTCGACATATCTAAACACAAATCCATTTTCATACGCTCGTTCTGCCCCTCATGTTCTCAAAAGCCTTCACGTTTAGTAAGGACATTCGGAACTTGGCGTCTGAAATGTTCCCGGGCCAAGTCGAAGCCGCTTTGAAGGAGGCTCCCGGTGCCAAAACCGCGCCGGATAAGGTTATCGTCGCCATCAAGGCTGAGAGAGTGATTTCCAAAACTGCACTGGCTTGGGCTCTTACCCATGTGGTCCGTCCCGGTGACTGTATAACCCTGCTCGCTGTCTTCTCCGTCGAGAAAACTGGTAATTCTGTAATTCCTTGCAATTAGTTTTTATCTGGGTTGATTACAAAATTGCCGTGTTGGATTGAATTTAACTTGATTAAGGCGTGTGATTGTATGTTCAGGCAGAAGGTTCTGGAATTTTCACAGATGGAGTGGGGATTGTGCGAATGCTGTTCAGGAGAATCTGCCGGATCGGGTACATGAGATCTCCGAGTCATGTTCACAGATGGTGCTTCATTTCCACAATCAAGTTGAGGTGTTCTGTCTTTTCTTAAAAAACTTTTTTACTGTCATTGACTCTTTGCGCCCTTTAAACGTCGTCGTTTTAAGTGCATTTTTCACGCTGTCACTTCTTAGCTAGTTGTCATTGTCTGGGTAGCGAACAAAAAAGAAGAAACTTTTCTGATTTACCTTGTGGCTTGATGATTGTGCCATTGAATTTAGAAGATTCCAGGAGGTGGAAGCGAGTCTGCATTTGTTTTAAGGGAAACACTAATTAGGTTCATGATTGAAGGGCCAGGTTGGAAGACATGTGTTTTTGGGACCATTGGACCTCTTGAAGAAGACAGTGGGAGAAAGGTTTCTTTTACCTTTTCCCATTTCTTTGCAGCTTCTTCAATGGGGTTAAATTTTTGCTACTTGTTTTAGTAACGTGGACCAAAGCTTAAAATAAGCCAGTATGTTCCCTTGCTGTCTTACAGAGTTTGGTAATATCACTGAGCTTCGGATCTGTGTAATTGAGCGTCCCTTGATGACTACATTGTATAGGGTAGGATGATGATTATGATGAATTATGATGAATGCCAGTAGGAAGACCAATCATCCATCAGTGTTTTATACCAAGCACGCCCGTGTAATAATTGTCCACTAAAACAAGTGATCGTGGTACTTACTATGTGTCCCCCATTGGTTTTCAGGTTAAAGTGAGAGTTAAGGTGGTCACAGGAACACAGGAAGGAGCTGTCGCTGCTGAAGCAAAGTTAAAAGGAGTTAACTGGGTCGTACTAGACAGGTAATTTACCATCAGAATGTACGATGTTCTTATGTTTCTTACTGATTCTATGATTAATAATCTTTTCACTTGAGCGGACCACTTGCTTGTGCTTTGAACATAATTATTTAGAACTTCAGGTAAATCACAAGTTGTCTATGAAAGTTTGTTCTGCAGCTCTTATAACAGAATTTTTAAACTAATTCTATATTTTTATGCAAGATTTGCATTCGTGCTCAGTGATCTATTACTTATGGACCTTATCCATATATTTTGGATTGAAACTTCCCATAATATTTATTTATCGCCAGTTATATTCCTAAATGATGTCACGTCTTTGATTTTTATTTGCTCTACTTTTTGTACCGTGAAATGATGATTGTACTAAACAAGTTTCAAATCTAATGCCTGAGTTAATTGTTGACCAGGAAATTGAAGAATGAGGTAAAAAGTTGCCTAGAAGAACTGAGCTGCAATATTGTTACAATGAAAGGGTCTCAACCGAAAGTTCTCAGGCTTAATTTGGAGTGTTGGAGTGAACCTCAAACTCCTTTCTTTTCGGCTAATTCGTCTCCTGTTCGAAAAGGTCAACAAAATAGAATGAAGCAGACAACTTCACTAGCAAGCAGACCAGAAGAAGAACCTGGTGCCTCATTCAGAAAATCCTCAAAAGAAGGGTCAAAATTGGGTACTGATGCAGTGTCTTCTATTTTCCTTGTGTATGAGCAAAACCCTCTATATGAAGGGAACTTAAAAGGCAATCACTTGCCGATTAATGAGACTAACGATTTAAGCATTTCAGTATCATCATCCAACTCAGTGGAAGAAAAAGTTCTGTCTCTACCGCCAACATCTGTGGCTTCAAATCAAAAATGTGTTTATTGGATTTCTCAGAACCATAACCTTTCTGAGGGAAAAACTCTATCCAAGTCCAAAAGAAGATTCCTTAAATTTGCTTCAACTCCCAAGGTGCCATTCAGTAATCCTACAAGTCTTGAGAAGAGTGCGACTTTTGAAGATATGAGGCTCAACCAGTCTGAGAGAAAGGATTACATTGTGGACTCAAATATCAGGGATGCTGTCTCTTTGGGTAGAGCATCCTCTGCACCCCCTCCTCTGTGCTCATTATGTCAACACAAAGCGCCGGCTTTTGGAAAACCCCCCAGACAGTTCACTCTCAAAGAGCTTGAGGAAGCTACTGACAGATTTTCGGATTTGAACTTCTTGGCAGAAGGCGGTTTTGGAATTGTTCATAGAGGAATCTTGAGAGATGGACAAGTTGTAGCTGTGAAGCAGTTGAAATGTGGAGGCTTACAAGCAGATGCTGATTTTTGTCGAGAAGTTCGGGTGTTGAGCTGTGCACAACACAGAAATGTAGTGTTGCTGATTGGGTTCTGTATTGAGGACACCATGAGGTTATTGGTTTATGAGTACATATGCAATGGTTCATTGGATTTCCATTTACATGGTATACTTCTGGGTTGTTTCATGTGCATAATTTTCACTAGTTTATCATGAATACAGGCTATTTGCTATTTCTAATTTATAAGGTTTCAATCATGGAATTTCTAAGTTTCAGTCACTGACAGGGAGTAGAAGCCAGTTAGATTGGCATTCAAGGCAAAAGATAGCAATAGGAGCAGCACGGGGTTTACGTTATCTTCACGAAGATTGCAGAGTTGGGTGTATAGTGCATAGAGATATGCGACCTCACAATATCCTCCTAACTCATGATTTTGAACCCATGGTACCTTCATTTTTTATATCGATTTTATTAAGTCTTGAAGCATTTATTTTCTTTTCCAGAACATCCTATCATCCATTCTGAGATGATCTCACTTTATGATCCCATCAGGTTGCTGATTTCGGGCTGGCAAGGTGGCATTCTAAATGGTCTACCAGTGTTGAGGAGCAAGTCATTGGAACTTCAGGGTATTAGTGCCACATCCTGTTTATATGCAAAGTTATAACTTTTAAGCCTGTTCACTAAACAACACAAGAGTTTGGAAACAAAAAGAAGCCAGGAACAATATAATTATCAAGCACACGCTTAAGAATTTTTTTTTTTTTTTTTTTTTTTAATCATTTGATTCATCTAGTTACTTCTGGAACCAGGTATCTAGCACCAGAGTACATCAATGGCGGTATGGTATCACAAAAAGTGGATGTATATGCATTTGGCATGGTTTTATTAGAGTTGATTAGTGGTAAAAGAAGCTGTGAGCTGCACCGTCTAGAGGGAAAACAATTTATATCAGAATGGTTCCACCCCATCTCTGCGTTGCAAATTCAACATTTACTAGCTAGTAGTAACCATTTGGTAGATCCATGCTTAGCATCCGAGCAATCCCCCGACTTCTGTTATCAACTGCATTCTATGGTCCGTGCGGCTTCCTTGTGTCTATGTCCAGATCCTGAATCAAGACCCTCAATGTCAAAGGTTTGTTTTCAATTTTTTCAATTTTTGTGGCACGTTTGTTATGGTGGTTGTTTGATGCATCCAAGTCGATTTCGTTTTCAGATTCTTCGAGTGCTAGAAGGAGGAGATCCAGTTGTTCCTCTTGGTTTAGACTTCGATCCAGTCGGCTGCAGAAGTGCACACTTGGATGGTTTGACGTCTCACAAACCAATCGAAGCAAGAAGAAGCCATACTCGTACACTCTCACAATGAAACAACAGTTGAGTCTTGAATAGGAAAGGTCTGGACAAACCCCTTTCACATTTGCTGTCCATTTTTTTCTCCAAATGATCATGATCATAGTCATCACCTAAATTAGGTGTGTTACTTGTAAAATATGGAAAATATTTAATCTCTCCTTGGTGTTAGTGTATTTCATGCGTGTAGGCTTAGATCAGCCAAGGGATTGGATCTCAAGATCCTAACTGTATGGATTTGAGTTGTGAGTTGTGATTATACATAAGCCTCTAGTTTAGATTTGAACTTTGGAACTTGTGAGATCCCATGGTTGGGAACGAACGGATTTTATGAGTGTGGAAACCTCTTTTATGAGAGTGTGGAAACCTCTTTTATGAGAGTGTGGAAACCTCTTTTATGAGAGTGTGGAAACCTCTTTTATGAGAGTGTGGAAACCTCTTTTATGAGAGTGTGGAAACCTCTTCCTAGTAGTTTAAAACTGTAGAGAAACCTCTTCCTAGTAGTTTAAAACTGTAGACTCGATTTGGAAAAAGGAACGAATAGTAGTGGGTTTGGACTGTTATACAACCCAGAAAAGAAAACGAATAGTAGTGGGTTTGGACTGTTATACAACCCAGAAAAGAAAGTGGTGGAGTGGATTTAATGGAACATGTGCTTTTATGATCAGATGCAATGATACGAAGCGGAGGGTTAGATCCTTTATAAATGTTCCACAATATACAACAGAAGGGGAGAAAGGTGAGCTTGGTGGTACAGAAAACACATGGGGTCAAGCCAAACACACACTTAAAAGAATCACAAAATGTTGAAAGATTTCACTCAGGCTCTCATTCCACATTCAAATTCATGACCGTTTGCTTATGCTGGGTTCTCTGGAAGAGGTGAAGCTTCTATCCGATGGCACCGAGTCCGCGTCATTCCCAAACTGCTGCTGCATCATCGCCACCGCATTCCTATCCATCGTCATCTCAGGCACACGCCACACTTTAATGGACTTATCGAGGCTTCCACTGTACGCTATCCACTGCTTCTCCCCAGTCTTCGAGGACTCACTGTCCTCCTCCACTGCCAAGCATTTCACCGGCCCAGTGTGCCCCGTCAGCACCGTCAGACATGTGTGGGTTGCCCCTTCTCTTCTCCACACGCATATGGTCTTATCGGCGGAGCCACTGAACACCATGCTCTCAACCGCTACCAGGCACAGCACAGTCAGCTTGTGCCCTTTCATAACACCACCGTGTGTCAACTTCTCTTTCCTCTCCCAGAAATTCACCATCCCATCAGATGACCCACAGTACACGACGGATCCGTCCGCCGTCACTGCCAGCGCCGTCACTGCACAATCTTGCTTCAGCAACGACTCCACCAGAGTGTGCTTTGTGGCCTTCCCTTTGGCCTCCCTTTTCCACACCTTCACCGTCCCGTCCGCCGAGCCTGTGAACACCAGCCCCTCCACGCTCGCCACCACCGAATTCACCGCATCGTCGTGCACATTCAGTGATTCCAAGCACTTGGAATCTGCAATTCTCCACACCTTCAGCGTTCTGTCCCACGAAGCAGAGTATAAGAGGAGCTTGTCCTCAGTGAGGCTCAAACAAGACACTGCATCAGAGTGCTTGATCCACAGAGCCCTTCTACGCCCTCGTCCTTCCACGTAATTGCTGGGGTTAATGGAGCTTTTGAAAATGTCTTTGAGTGTTGGCAATGTACCAGCTCGTTTGTGGTCACTTGAGTTCTTCTGGGACACCTTCCAAACGCGGATTTTGCCGTCTTGGTGTCCCGTGAAAATCCTCTCACCCGAGATGATAATGGCTTTCACCAACCCACTGCTGGATTTAAATGCAGCGTATTCCTTCAAATTCTTCCAAACTCGGATGTTCTTGCTGTCAGAGCCAGTGTAGAGAAGCTCCCCTGAAGCGGCCAAGGAATAGATGTGGCCCTCCTCACGGGTCAGCGAGCCAATTAAGGCATTTTGTGGGTCGTTGTTTTCCTCCACTTGGGACCATGAAGATTTACCGAACGTGGAGGTCTGGTTCCAGGGCGACATTGTCATTGGAGATCCTTCACCACTCAAACGACCCTGGTCGTAAAAGGCTTGGCCGCCCACAGAAGCACTGCTGTTTCTCATGGCGAAATCGTCTTCGATTACGGTGGTCGAAATGTTGGGGTCGGAATGTGCCATGTTGCCGCCGAATTTGGATCGTGGAATGCTGTTGTCTTCTCCAAACATCTTGTTTCCCTGACTCTGCTCCGACCTTCTCTCGTTTGTGTGGATTTTATTATGCGGATTCCGACATGAGAAGTGAAAATGCGATGTAGAAATAAGTTTTAACCCCAGAAGCCTGATAGCCCAAAAGACCCACACTTAAAATGGGTCTTTCGGGGATCAAATAATGCGTTGATGATCCAGAGTAAACCCAGGAGAGGATGCTAAAAATGTACAACAAGGCATGGACAGTACTGAGTTTCTCCATTTTTAGCAAATTCAAAATCTGTTAATTTCGTTGATTTGGTCAAGCGAGAACACGTGGCTCAATACCCTGGAGATACCCTACCTACACGCCACCTGGAAACATATTTTATTAATAAATAATTAAAAAAAACTTATAATCCAAATTTCTGTACAATCGCGGGCCTAAGCTGGATCCGAATATGCTTCAGCTGGGCCTTAGGAGGCCCATAACGAGAGCGATTTCTGAAACGTTAATCCCAATGGTTTCGGCTAAGACCGTGGCATCCTCATCGTTTTCGAACCTCCTCGCGAAGACGCCTATGCCCGAAGCATTTTCGCGGGCTTAGGGTTTAAGGACCGCTAACTCTGCTCTAAAACCCTAAGAATATGCAGTCGCAATCCTTCTCTCGTGGCCTTCCCCCGGCTCTGGTCGGATTACAGGATGGCCGTTCTCGCTTTCGCCAAATGGTGAGTACTTGCTACCAATGTTTGATTTGATTAATGATTTTTCTGTCATTCGAAAGTAACATTGTAGTTTCGCTCTTCATTTCTTCTCAAGCAATTGGGAAACCGGTGGAAACAAGGAGAACAGCTTGAATTTTCATCCAAACAGCTTCAATTTGCATCCAAGTGTATGTTTTCAATTATTCTTGCGTCTGTGTGTGAATTTGTTTTTTTTTTTTTTTTTTTTTTTTTTTTTTTTT